GGTGTATCGGTTCGGTCTCTTATGAATTTCGTATTTATCACTTAGAAATGTCTCTGTACCAAAGGAGAAATGAGACAAATCATTTTTAAAAAATCCAGGAACGTTCCAAATTTCAATTGCTCCAGGAACGTTCCAAACTTCAACTAGCTCCCAGATTCAACATCACAGACACTGAAAACTCCTTGCCAAACCATTTCAAAACCGAATCAATATTTAAAAACATGATTACGTTAAATTATGTAGATTTTTCTCCAATTTTCAGGCTTTCAGCCATATTCGATCAGCCATCTTGGATTTCAAAACGGGGCACATGACTTTCGAAAGTACTAGTAAAGACTAATTTTTTGAGCTATCGAACGTCTTTGTAGGTCGCTTCAAATTTTGGGCAGACAAGTGATCCAGTTGACGTAAAACGTCCCATATATATATAATCACACGGTTAAGATGTACCTAACTGTTGTGCAATGAACGGTGTCTTTGCAGATATACCTGCTGCTTTTCCTGTTGCTATATATCTCGAGCTACGCGCTGATCGCGCGTTTCAGACGCCGGGATCGCGAGGATTACTTGTCGGTGGACGAGGATGAGGTCACCGTGTACAGGATCAGCCTCTGGCTGTGCACGGTTGCCCTGGCAATTTCCGTCGGCGCGACTCTCCTACTTCCGGTGTCTATCGCCAGTAATGAGGTCCTCATTTTGTACCCGAATAGCTACTACGTCAAGTGGCTCAACAGCTCCCTTATCCAAGGTAAAATCTTGAACTGAATAATCTGGGAAAATATATACTTCAACACGAGTTACTCGAAATATATAAGAAACAGATGCACATATAGATAGAAAGATAGAAGAGTCGAAATGGAAAGTATAGCTTTATTTTATTCTGGGACAATCACCCAAGAGCAATCTTATCATAATTCGAGATAACATTACAATTATAAAGAATTAATATTAACATATAATGAGACGAAAGAGATTAAGTTATTTACTTTAAGAAATTAAAGCATCAATAAGAATGCGAAGAAGGGTAGAACATATGAGGTGTACCCAGATAGCAACGTGTCTGCATTGTTGCTGGCATGTTGCCGACAACATAGTATGTGTTGCTACCAGAATTGTGGCAACTGAGTCCGCATTTGTCGGCAAGTTGATGCCTTCACGATATAACAATTTTGTATAGCAACTTGCCAGCAACTTATGCTGCAGTCTAACATTGTCTCAAAATTCGAACTGTTGCTGTCATGTTGCCGTAATAATTCATAAAATCACACAATGCTGTCATATTGCTAGCAACGCGAAGTAAATTTGATGCTGTTCTGTTGCCGACAAATTTCTGGCAATACATATATTCAATGTTGCCTGCATGTTGCTTCAGATATTAAATTACTCGAAATCAATTGAAGCAAATGTATGGCAAGTTGCCAGCATCATAAGCAATCACAGGTTTGCGCAATTTTGCTCAGACACGCTTTGCTGTCTGGGTACGTTGTTCTGTTTTAATTGATCTAATATCATTAAAATTATTAATAGATAAAAATATAGTAGATACAAGTTAAAAATTTTCGAGAAGAGTTTCGTTAATTCACAAATTAAATGCACTTACAAATCATAGTTTTGTGAATTGAGAGTACAGGTTTATTTGCGTAATTATAGCAGATATATTTCACTAGCGATATTATGTACTGATAAAAAGATACCGACGATGAATTCATGCGATATAATTATCTTACATCTTCAATTTATATCTTCGTGTAAAAGTCATATTGTTTAATTAACAAGTTTAATTTCCCATTGACAGGTCTATGGAACCACGTATTCCTATTTTCGAATTTATCGCTCTTTGTGTTTCTGCCTTTCGCCTATCTCTTTACGGAGTCTGAAGGTTTCGAAGGCCATAAAAAGGTAAGACAAAATTCTGAATGACTTCTAATCTGTCCCACCTTTTGTAACTATGCTGCGATCGTAGGGCGTGATGGCGAGGGTGTACGAGACAGTGACAGTTCTCTGTCTCTTGGGTACTCTCGTACTGGGAATGACCTATGTCCTGTCGGCCTTGTTAGATTATCAAAACTCAAGTTTGCACACGTTGCTCAGTAAGTGTACATAACATATACAAAATTGATAATCTTGTATATAATTTAGAATTTAGATATATCTGGGCGATAAAGTTACGACATCGAATAAGACCGTGGATTTGATACAATTTACAGATTTATGGAGTTATTATCTGCCTTTCCTGTACTCCTGCGTCTCGTTTGTTGGCGTAGTAATGTTATTGCGTAAGTATCACGCATTTTTCGCATAACTCCGTTGTCCGCGCAGCACAGAAAAATCAATTTGCAATATTCTTCAAATGTAATATTTTTTTCCATGAACTTACTCTAATTCATTGAATCGCTTTATCTTTAGTATGCACTCCAGTGGGATTCGTACGACTGTTTGACGTGGTGGGGTCGTTTCTTGTTAAACCCCAATTTCTGAAGAACTTGGATGAGGAGTTCTTCGCGTATAGATTAGAGGAGGACTGTATCCGTAGGAGGTAAGCATTTCTCTTCCTTTTTCTTGTATTCTTATGTATATCCAGTATCGCGAATTGTCTAACCTTTTTTTACATATCTAAATCAACATCTGTTCAGATTGCAGCACGTGAAAGCTACGGGAAAATCGTACGTGTCGCCGGTGCCGATGTCGCCGGCGATGAGTTGCGGCTGGTCGATGCACGAGGACGACGAGCCGCTGCTGTGCATAAGCCCAGGTTTGCTGTGTCTAAGGAATGGTGCTCTGCAAAAAGGCCTTTCTCAACGGCTGGACGATGTTCAGAGGCGACGACAGCTGCTGGACCAACAGCGGAGGACCTGGTGGGTCCGGCGCACGCTACTTTATCCGGTAGCGATGCTGGCGCTGCTCATTTTGTCCACCGCCACGGCTCTATTAGCGGTGCAAAATACTATAGAATTACTGATAGGCATCAAGGCATTGCCGTTGAGCACGAGGGTTCGTACGTACTTTACTTCCTCCGAATTAATCGACTTTCTAGTCATGAACTCGCGCTGCAATTATTAATTTGAATTATCGTTATATTAATTAACATAAAAATGGTGAATTTATAGTTTTGCGTGCTGTAATAAGGCTCCTGGGTAGTCACCGCGGCCATATTGAATTCTTGAGGCGAGAAATAACCCTATTTTGTCGTGTGTGTCATTCTCAAATAAAAAGACATTTCGATAAAAAATCACTATATATCGTTTTGAAACACTTCTAAAATTGACCAAAAACTATCCTTTTCCCTCGACAATAAACAACCATAAAACAAAACCTAAACATACGGGAAAACGGTTTGTTTTATGGCTGTTTGTTTATTGTCGAGGAAAAAAGATAGTTTTCGGTCAATTATATGAGTTTCACGAATACATTAAACGTTATAGCACTTATTTCTACCGCTACGGCACGTCGCCACCGTCAATGCGGAATTCTCGGCTCAGGGACCAGAGCACGTATTATGGAATTTTTCGGAATGGATTCCGATCGGAATTGTTTAGGGCTGCGTTCGAAAACTTCACTCGGGTGCACACCAGCGTTGTTTCGTCTTTGTTCAATTTTTAGTAAGTAACAAAGACAGAACGACGCGGTGTGCACCCGCGAGTAAAATTTCGAACGCATTTCTTAGATTTCTATTGTGTTTTCTAGGGAAAGCGGAATAATTCCGATCGGAATCGATCCTTCCAATAAAAAAAATCAATTACAGATTTATTGTACCAAATAATTTATTTCGTAAATTATTTAACTGATGATAGTATCGTTTTCTTCATCTAATTTTAATTTTACTTTAAAAAATTATAAAGGTACTGTTTTTTTTATTTCAACAGCAATTTACGCTCGGCATCAGTTCTCTGTCTAAGCTCGGGCCTGTCGGTGCGGCCATCGAGGTAGCGGTGATCCTTTACCTGGCCGTGACTAGCGCAATCGGCCTGTACGTCTTACCGGGCGTGAGAATCGTCCAACCAAAATTTCGCTCCACACCGCTCACCCATCTCATTGCAAATTGCGCCCTTTTGCTTGTGCTAAGTTCGGCATTACCGCTATTATCGCGAATCCTAGGTAAGCTGGATGTTTATTTATATCCCACAAAAACGTTTCAATCCTAGTTATATTCTAAAATAATTGAAATTAATAATAAAAAGTTCTGTGTGCTTGCTCTTGTTTTTTCTCATTCAACTACTAGATATACAATCTGCATATTTACAGGGTTAAAAAAACTATAACAATTAATAAGGAGAAGGCCAATAATCGAGCAATAATGGATGTTATTCATATAATTATTAATCACATATATGTAAACAACGGAACGTTTCGACTTCACCGAGTCTTCTTCAGCCGTAGAATAATCGCAATGTAATTCCTAACTAACCATATAAAATTTTTAACCTACAGAGCCACATCACCATTCGAAGGTTTGACAAATACATACAGGGATATTGTCGTTGCATCTATGAAGTCAAAGGTAAAAACGGAGGTCGTCAGCGAGCAAATTAACTTATTAACATAATGGATTCCTCGTTCGGAGGCGAGAATAAATCGGGTCCAGTCCATAAGAATTGTTGCTTCGTTGTTTAGTCAAGGTGTAAAAAATAGTTGTCTGAAAAGAAGTTATAAAATGTCGCTAATCTAAGATCTATTAAGACACATATATTTGTCAAAATATCTTTCAAAGTGCGATGTAATGCTCTGGCTCGTGTTACTGATGTCAAATGACTGCGTAAATTGTCAGGACGGACCATGGTGGAAAAACACTCCACCATGGGACGAACAGAGTTATAAACAAATAACAGTGTATAGGGAAAATAATGTTTTATGTTAGGTCAACCAAAATTCGCTAAGTTTTGTGATTGGTCAGCTCAAGTATGCTGAAATATGAATCATCCAGAAATTCTGTGTCTTTATTAGAATTGATCCCATTTTTTTGTTCCTTAAGGGGATCCTGCAGCCGTATGATTTACCGACATTATCGTTTTTCGATGGATCTTTCAATTGGCTTTATAGAATTGCAACAATATTTTACAAAATTAAAGTACGTACAAAAATCTAGAGTAACAAACACCAAAAAATTAAAAATATTACTTATTTGGGCACATACGCATCTGTCACCTGACGACAATATTTGCTTAAAACAAAAATTCTGCAGTTTATACATACATAATGTTTATCATCTGCCCTTGGGAAAACATGTAGGAATAATATCGTGCAAGTAGAAGTAAGATTCAATGCGTACAAAAAAAGATCTATCGAAAAATTATTTTAGTAATGCAAATACGGATGCAGAATGACAAGAAGAGCAGCAACAGCAGTTGTTGGATCTTGCGAGAGATGGCGAGCAATCGAAAAAAGGACAGATGTCATTTCGTTAGACAAAGACGGATATAGGGAAAACAAAATTAGAAAGGTTGACATTATTGACATCGAGGAAGTTCGCCAGTCACTGCAGGATCCCCTTAATGTGTAACATCTCCCGATATGAGTCTGTTATAATAATTCGCTTCTGAATCGAGTATTACTGTACTGTCCCAATCAAAAGTATGATTATATTTCGTAATGTGTTCGGAAATCACAGAATGTCTAGATGGATCTGTTCTGATATTGTTTTTGTGTTCGTTTAATCTAGTTTTTAGTTGTCGCTTGGTTGTATGTGATTAATAATTATATGAATTAACATCCATTATTGCTCGATTATTGGCCTTTCCCTTATTAATTGTTGTAATTATACGAGCGTACTAGTTTATTTAATAAAAAAACTATGTTCTTTCATATATGTCGAGGGATTCTTTGACTGATATATATTTAGAATCAATAATTTTATTAACAAAAATGTCAAAGTACAAATAATTTTCGTGTTATAAGAAAAGAAGAGGATTTACGAATGAAACATAACGAAAAATTATAGATAACAAAACGGATAACGAAATTACTATCTGGCGATTGAAAGAAGTAAAAATTTTAAAAATGGCGCTTTACATGGAATAAGACTTTATTATTGCTTTGCTCACATTCCTTCTGATTTATGCTTTTCTCAGGAATGACAAACTTTGATCTACTGGGTGATTTTGGACGCATCGAGTGGCTTGGTAACTTCAAGCTCGTGCTCCTCTACAATCTGATCTTCGCGACGGCGGCGATTAGCTGCCTGACCACCAAGTTTACAGCGACTGTGCGCAAGGAGATTTACACCCGTCTGAGGAGCAGCCTGCTCGGCATCTTCAGAACTACCAGCGTCACCGCCGACGCAAAGAAATATTCACCGTCGTCAGGGATGTTTTCTACAAAGGAAGATTAGACTGATTTGTTATATTATTATATAATTAATTAAACAGAGAGAGAAAAGAGACGCCGGAACCTTGCGAAAGTTTGCCCGGTTTTTATGTTCTTGTATGCAGAATTACAAGGAGTCTCTCAAAGACGTGAGAAATTTATGCCGTACGACGTATGTAGGAAAGCAGTTGCAGAGCTCTCAAACTTGCAGATCTTTGGACGTGCCAATCCTTCGATGCTTGAAGTCTTGGACTGGACTGGATCGTTAGATTCTTACGTGCTCGAGCGATCACGCCGAGGTCTTCTGTATTTTCATGTTCCAAGATTCCAAAACTGCTCGTTTCTTTTAATCTTTTAAGAATTTATGAATCTAAACATAATCTAAATATATGACAGTATATTTAAATAAAGGTGTTGCTTCGTGTTCAAAAGATTGGCTTTTCCAAGGAATTTGAATTGGTTACATTGAAATCACCGGCAAACTTCGTCGGTGATCAAAATATAATCTTGATTATATCCCTTCCTTTTTTTTAAGGATAATGCGTTTTTGCTCTTGCGCCATCGAAAATCGCTGCATTAAAGAGCCAATGAAACTTTCGTAAGAGCCAAGAAGTTTATCGCTTAGAGTAAGCGAACGCTAGTGATTATTTGTAATTAAGACGCGCGAAGCCAGTCAAGGGTAGCGATCATGACGGAAATGTGAAAAGTGAAAAGTTTTACCATTAACTTCAATGGTTAAAATTTTCACTTTTCACAGATAAAGTTACTTTTCAAAGATAAAGTTACATGATCGCTACCAAGAACATGTAGTCCGATAAGGACAAAAGGTGGTCACATCCGTAATACATAGCGTTAAATATTTATTTATTACATTAATGCTATTTTTAAGAATATGTTTGTCCGGGCCCGGGAAAAGGACCCAGTAATTGAGCGAGTATGTGTCACGATCGAATGATTAGTTTATAGTGGATGTAAGGACTGCAAGGAGGATACGATACAATTTACGCATATATAAGGTGTTCGGTGAAATTGTTCATCAATGTACTGGGCAAGAATCTATCCTCCGCGAAAAGAATCTTCGATGAATTCATTTACCTTATTTTATAATTTCCAATTGTGCATAAAAGAAAAAACAGTTTCAATTTAAATGATAAATTTTAATGACTGCTTGAAATAAAAACCTAAGAAATATTAACTGGGTTATAACGAAAGCGTAAGGAATTGTTTAACATCTCATGCGGAATACGAAATGTTCTTAGACTGAATAAATCGCAATAAAATGAGATTTTAAGAGACTTATACATATTCAATTGCATAAAGTGTACGCAACACTAAAAGAAGGTTACCCGGCCAATATTTGAGCAAAAAAATAGATGGTCAAAATTAAAATTTATTAAATAAAAAAATATATATATATGGAGGGGTAAAAGCCATAGTGGTGTAAGTCAAATTTTTTTAATTAACTCGTGTGCATAGATGCAATCTGTACAATATATAAATTGCATCTATGAGACAATACTTTTAAAAATTTGACTTACACCACTATGGCTTTTACTCCTCCATAATATAATGACAATCATTTACGTTTCGACCTACTTGATTTTCATCGAACGTTCTAATATATTTCTCTTAATGTAATTTTATTAGAACGTTCTGATGAAGATCAGTAGGTCGAAACGTAAATGATTGTCATTATATATATGTATGTGTATATATATATATATATATATATATATATA